GAAATTTACCTAGATATTAATATTGACCTAAAAGTGAATCAACACATACATTTCTAGGATATACACGTATTTACGGGTATAAATACCAGAGAGAATGTCTATATGCGAACAGGATTGCATATAAAAATAAAAGCTACGAATTTCACATTTGAATTGTATCTAATAGGGGCAAAACAAACCTAAAAGAAAAATAAGTTGCTAACTTATTTCTAGACGCAATACGCAGGAATACCTTGCAGATTGGTCGTAAGCATAACGAGAAGAAACTGTGAGTCTTTTCTGTGTTGATAGAGAAAAAATATCAATCAAAAATCTATTCTCAGGGAAAACACAAAAGTCAGCAGTTTGTTTTACTTACGCCGATTAGAAAATTGCGAATCGCTTGGACAGCTCTCGAAGCTGTCGCCATCTTGAGAGTAAATCAAGCTTACATGGGATCATGGGAGATTTTCATCTAAGCCTTCTCAGCCACAAAATCTTTTCGTAAAGTGAAAATAAAAAGCCAAAACAATAAAAATTAGACTCGATATTGCAAGCGAAATTTAGAGGAGAGGGAAATAAAGCTATTTTCCTTAAAGATTATTTCGAAGGAAGTTTGAAATTATTTCAGTTTATTAGTTTCTCTTATTTCCCAGCATTCAGTGCGCATTATAAACTCACTTTGACCACGTGGTTTCTTCCTCTTACAGCCGCCATATTTCCACTATGGACAAGCCTGTGAAACTAGCCAAGGTATTTTGATTTTTCTCGATCTAACACAGCTGATTTTAAGCTTAAACTAACTGGTAGTCCTCAAATGACCCCATTTTAAGTTTCAACTTAGATACTTGTAGATATTTGTGTGAGTTTTCGATATTTTTACCAAATTTCGGAAGTTCACCGAACCATTCCTTACAGGATAAAATTTACGATAAATGTATTTAAAGGAGGCTCTGTTAGGGTTTATTCGTGGATGAAAAAATTCAAAAGAAGCTAAGGATAGGACAAGTCATGACCATTTTTTCGAATCATGCAAGTTACGATTCGATATAAAGGCTCAGTACTCTCTTTCCTTCACTAGGTTACCAAATGTTTGGGAAGAACCGGCTCTCAAGGTCAGTGTACTCAGGTAAGTAAACGTCTTCATGTTCCTTTACTCTACTGCTCGTAATCGTACGCTTATCGGATATGAAGTCTTTCAATAATATTCATATGACAGGACAGGCGATGGTTGTTAAAGGCAGCACGGCAGTTGAAAAAGGCAATAAGCTGGGGAAATTGTTAGAAAAGATGAAACATAAATAGCATTGTCTTTATAAGTGTAAGAGAAAGCTAATGTACGTGACTGATCAGAACCATTCCAATGGTTTTCCAATGATACTAAAGGCAATACTTTTGGAAAGGTTAACAGGGTAATTTAGTGTAATCAGCTGAGTTGATAACGCAAATTGGCCATTGTAAAGAGTGAAAAGGCTGACATTTCGAGTGTTAGCCCTTCATCAGAGAAATTTTGGAAAAGTTAGCAACCATCTATAATGGAAGTGTGTTAGTTTGGGCCATTGTGGAAAGAAGGAGGAAGGATTTGGATGGAAAAATAGAATGTCTCATTCCGTTGCACACAGGAATTGCTAAGCTGTGGTTGTGACCTTAGCTTTCTCTGTGATTGAGCTACCTTGTTAATATGGTTTGGACAAAGATAACAATCTCATGTGCACATTCGAACTCCCAAACACTTAAATTTCATTGTCCAATGCACTTCTAACTAGGGTTAAGTGATCTTGTGAAGGTTAACTTGCATACTGTCCAGTCTGATAAGATCGTCCTACCTTCTAACACAGGGTAATGCTTGTGAAACAGCTCATAACTGCACATTGTTTTTACAATCAACTAGACAGTAATGCACTTTTTACTATTCAACCCATTAACCCCAGAGTGACTAGCATCTAATTTCTCCTTACATTTGTCATCCCCAAATCACATGTAAGGTAATGAGAATAGAGGAAATGGTCACCAACTAGAGATACTCTGGATTATGAAACAAGTTCTCCTCATCAGCACCGTAGGGAATGTTTAGGGAACAGTATGGAGAATATGCATACTGATGTTAGGGTGGAAAGAGTAAAGAAAATGATGTTTTTCTTGTATTGTAACTTTTTCATTAATTGAATTCTCTGGTAATTTTTTAGGTACGAGTAGAGTTTCTTGACGACACAAACAGATCCATCATCCGTAATGTCAAAGGACCAGTCAGAGAGGGAGATATCTTGACTTTACTGGAATCAGAACGTGAAGCCAGAAGGCTAAGATAGGTCAGTTGCAATACCAATATGTAAACCTGATAGTGTCACAGTATATGTTAATACAAAAAGCACTCACTGCAGAACCTTTTCCTTTTGCAGAAGACAGGGAGATGAAGAACTTCACCCTGATGTCCCATATCCGTGAAAAAGGATATCTCTTATTGAAATAAAAAGCGTCACTGTTAATTATACATGGTAGCCTGTCTTGTTTTAAACTGTAACAATCTGTGTCTTAAAGCATCTCAACTCAAGTGGGAAACTTGAATGCTGCCTTAAGAGGTGTCTCTTGTAAAACCAAGGATGTTCCAACATTTAACCAAATTATTTTATTTTTAATATTCTCATTGTTTACAAACTGGCACCAAGAAAGAATTTGGACAAGAACAAATTTTTGCACCTCAAGCATACAGATTATGAAACATTTTTCATGTAATCTCAGCATGTGAAAACATGTCAAAAAAAAAAATAATGGCAAAGTAAATGTGTTTTACTTTGGCATGATCCCTGCATCACAGAAGAGGACTTGGGTGAAAAAAAAAGTAATTTGTGAACCTGGGCCCAGTTGTTTGAAGGCTGATTAGTGCTAACCCAAGGTTAAATTTTAATCTGGGTTTCTTCATTCCTTTATTCAAAAGCCTTTTTGGGATAATTCCTGTGTTCTTTCTAGAGCATGAAATAGTCCTATTCTAGATGAAAAGAATTTGACTTTTAAAGTTATTAGATCTGAAATCAGATTTCACATTAACCACTGGTTATCTTAACCCAGCTTTGAACGACCCACCCCAGGGGACCAATCCAAAAAAATTGGTGTTCATTTTCCTGCTTGCTGTTAGAAGGCCTTTAAGACAATATCTTCTCACAGCCAAACCAGTAAGGTAACTGGTCCCAGGCTTACTTGGGCTTCATTGCTCTACTATTTCTCAGAGTATTCAGATTTTCTTGTGTTAAGCCAATGTTATGTGGAGTATTCTGTGGGAATTTTCAGGCCCACAACTGGTCCAACTGTACTCAGCCATGTTACAAGGTAGTTTGCAGAAACATTGTCCTCTTGATCTTCAGCGACACCTGCAATTTTCTTCATCATATCTGCGGTGTGACAAGGATGAAGTTGGTAAAATGGAACCCCAAGGTGAGGATGTTCCTAGAGACAAAATGTGACAGTTTTATCACAAAAAGATTCATGTTGAATTTCAAAGCATGGGATGATCAGAAAGAGAAAAAGATTTCTTCCCAGGAGGAGTAAAAAAGGTAAAACCGGAGGAGGGAGGGCCAAATATGTTTTTCCTCACTCCCTGCCCATTCTCAATTGGTCAGAAGTCTCACTCCTATTGAAAAAGACCAATTCAGTGAATGAATGCCAACTTCCAATGTTACCCCACTACTCTACCAAAATGCTCTCAGCATAGGCTAGGAAGGCCTTGCAATGGTGTCTTGTTGACATTTGGGAGCATGCTATGTACAGAAAGATAATTTGATAATCAATGCTAAAGCAACATTCACTTGGATGTTGGAAGCTGTCCACAATAGCAATCAGATTTAGTCTAGAAAACTCTGGCCACTCTCTATCAACCTTAAATGTTAGATTTATCCAAAGAAGCATTCAGATTTGTTTATCTATGTGTGATAAGCTGAGAAATCTCCGGTACTCTCAATCAATCCCCTCAGTCTGACACAGTTTCCTGCCTTTAAAGCAGTTTTCTGGTTTTGTTTATAATTTTACGGAATGGTTCAGATTGGCAGTTTAGAAAACTTTTGATTAGTTTTTCATTGAGTGGAAAAGTGCTCTATCATAAAGAACTTTTTCTAAACAAAGCGAATACAACTTGAT